CCCCCGGGGGTCGGTAGGCTCACCTCTGGCCTGAGGCTCTCAGAAGTAACGGGAGTGTTTGGTCACTTGTCAGTTTCCTCAAAACATGCAGGTGCAGTTAATGAGGTTTTGACTATAGAAATCGAGAGCCTCAGACAGGATGGCCATCTTTGTTGCTGGCCGTAGGGAAGATGTTAAAATGTTGGCCTGCTGTGCTGTCCTTCTCTGATTAGGAAATGCATTGAGATGAGAATGGAGAAAGGAATTCACACTGAGAAAGAAACATATGCTGCGTCCCCAGAACCGTCTGAGGGTCTGTACAGAGGCCATGAGGAGCCTAGATGTTTGGGGTCGTGGGTAGGGAGGCAGAGGGGCTGCACAAAACCTCATGCGGCCAAGGGAGTGACTCGACTTTTAGAAACGAGACTGCTTGAGGACTCAAAAAAATGTCGCCAGGAAGGGCAGCCACCTTAAACAGGACTTGCGTAATTTCTTTATTACAACTGTAACTTCATTGGAATCTGAGCAAGGACTCTGGGTGAAGGATTGCTTCTTACACCAACACCCAAAATTCACTCCAGGCAGAGCCGAGGCCGAACGGCAGAGCTGACGCTGGCCAGCAGAAGAAAGCCCCCGAGTCGGTCCTGTGGCCTGGGCCACGCCAAGCTGGCTTAGCTGCAACCCCCAGAGCACAGGTGACAAGAAAACAGGTGCTGCCCGGGACCGAGCAAAACGTAAACTTGTGTGTTTCCGAGGACTCGACACCCTGCAGAGGGGAAACACCTGTAAACCACATCTCTGATGAGGGGCTTGAATCTACAATATGTAAAGGACTCTTAAAACCCAGTAATTCTTTAAAAACCCAATTGAGAAATGGACCAAGGGTCTGAATAGACATTCCTTCAAAGAAGAACAAGTAAACAATGAAATGATGCTCGGCATTATTCAGTGCAAATGAAAACGACAATGAGGTGCCACTTCCTACCCAGGAGGATGGCTGTCGTCGGAAATAACCCGTGTCAGCCAGGACAGGAAGAGACGGAGCCCACCCCCTGCTGGTGGCGTGTCCAGTGCTGCGGCTGCTCCAGAGCAGTCCGGCCGTTCTGTTCTGCGGAAGGTCCAGCAGTCACCTGCGACCCTGCCAGTCCATGCCTAGGTCTCTGCCCAGAGAAAGGAAAACGCATGTCCCCACAGTAATTGTACACAGTGTTCATAGCCTTATTCATAATAGCCAACAAGTAGACACAACCTGAATGTCCAATGTTCAGCCTTGAGTGTGTGAGGGAGGAGCCCCCAGAGTGGGAGCTCCTTGAGGCCGGGCCGCTGGGCCGCTCAGCCGCCGTCTCTGTGCTTCTTTCAGTTCCCAATGGGTCCAGGCTCCGACGGCCCGATGGGAGGCATGGGCGGCATGGAGCCCCACCACATGAACGGATCGTTAGGTGAGCCTGCTGCCCCGCCCGGCCCTGCCCCACAGCCGCCTCTTGGCCTCCGCTTCTGGCTCAGCTGGGCCTGGCCCACGGCCCTGGCCTCCCCTGCCCACAGGAAGATCTGAGAAATCCTCTGCACAGCAATAGCGGGGGACTCGGGTGGAAGGGTTTGGAGGCCCCTCCACGGAAGCGTGGGCAGGAGACTGAGCGGGATTCTTTCTTGCTTCCAGGGTCAGGTGACATAGATGGACTTCCAAAAGTGAGTGTTTGATGTCTCCTCCCTGGACACGCCACCCTGTGCCCCCCACCCCCACCCCTTCCCCCAGAAAACCTGTCTCCCAGTCCGGCTGGCAGGCCATGGGCCGGGGCTCACCTCCTCTCCTCTCCCTGCAGAATTCTCCTAACAACATAAGTGGCATTAGCAATCCTCCAGGCACCCCGCGAGACGACGGCGAGCTGGGAGGGAACTTCCTCCACTCCTTCCAGAACGACAATGTAAGTGCCCACTGCCACCCTCGTGTCATCTCTGGGCCGTCACCTGATCCCCGGGGTCTGGGGACTCCTGAACGATTTCAGAGCCTCCTTCCTGGCCGAGACCTACCCACAGGGCCCGGGGCCTAGCAGCCTTGTTGTGGGTCTCGCCTTCCTCCCTCCCCCGTGTGCCCTGACCCCTGCCACCTGCTTCTGACCCCAGCAGATCCTCCTGGAGGCACGTGTGCAGGTGCGTGTCTCGGGTGCTGCGCCTCGGGCACTGGTTGAGCTGATGAGGTTGGAAGGCCTGGCTGGGCTGTCGTTCTGTGTCTGGAAAAAGAACACAATTCATCGTTCTGGTTGGGGGGGGGCGAGAAAAAAAATCATATAGTGGCTCTTGAGGGGGGTTGATTCATATAAAAATAAAAAGGGGAGCCGCGGGTTAGTGTTTTTTTTTAAAATAAAGAAAAAACCGCCACCGCCCGGGTGGGGGGCCCCGCCGTCATTCTTATTG